GCCTCCCAGTTTCTCAATTTGTATCGTTCCAGAGATATTCTACAGTGCCAGCAGGTTTAAGTGACTTTGTATGTGAGAGACACTTTGCTACAGACTCTGCATGAAAGGCTCACTGATGCAGATTGTACTATCATTGGCCCCAATTTCCAAGTGAGGCGACCTGCTTATGGCCTGAAATGAAAGGCCACTGGCCAAAAGTCTCATGGTGATAAGAGGCATAAAGTCCATATTCTTGGAACTCATCCCTGCCCCAAACCCCCAACACACACATATACACACAGAGCCCTAAACGAAGGTTACTTCATATTATATTATTCCCTCTGCTCTGAACACTCTCCCACCAACCTTCACCATCCCTTCGCCTAGCTAATTTGACTTTCCATAAACATTTTATAATCGGTTTGTCTCTAAAAAAAAATCTTGCTGGATTGTGGGATTGTGTTAAACCTGTAGATCAATTTGTGGCAAGTTAGTATTTTAACTATATTGAGTCTTCCAATCTATGAACACAGTGTGTCTGTACACTTATATTGAGTTGTCTTTGATTTCTTTCTTCAGTGTTTTGCAGTTTTCAGTGTGAGGATCCTGTATGTTTTGTTAGATTTATACCTAAATATTTCATTCTTTTCAGAGCCACTGTAACTGATAAGGGTTAATTTCGGTGTCCAATGATTTGTTGCTAGGATATAGAAACAATTGATTTCTGTGTGTTGACCTTGTATCCTGCAACCTTACCCTCTTATTAGTCCTAGGAGCTATTTTATAAACTCTCATGGAATTGCCTACACAGGCAATCATGTATGTCATATTCAAATAGGGATAGTTGTTCTTTCCAATCTATATTTATTTTTCTTGCACTGGATGGTGAATATCAGTGGTGAGGCAGACATCATTTCCTTGTTCGCCATCTTAGGGGGAAAGCATCCTTTTTTTCACCGCTACAGCTGTATGCACGTATGTTGGCTATACTTTAGCAAATGCCCTTTTACAGGATGAGGGAATTCCCTTCTCTTACTAGTTTGCTAGCAGCAGTTATCATGAATGAATATTGAATTGTGTCAAATGTTTTTCTGCATCCACTACTATAACCATTTTTTTTTTTGGTCATTGTTATTCTTTAAACTGTTCATATAGTGGAATTCACCTATTGATTTTGGAAAAGTGAACCAGCCTTTTGTTCCTGGGATAAATCACAGTTGGTTGTGGTGTACTATTCTTATATTGCTGGATTTGATTTCCTAGTATTTTATTGAGGATGTCTGTGTCTGTATTCATTTGGAACGACTGGTCTGTAGTGTTCTTTTCTTGAACTGTCTTTGTCTGCTTTTATAAAACAGATGTGTACTATACACTTCTCTGAGGTCTTGGATGATAGTTTTACTATCTTTAATCATCATTAAAACTTAAGAGTGGTTTTATCTTTGCTGTTCCGCTAGACTTTGACTCCAAGTCCTTGACCAGGAAGACAATTTCCAATAACAACAATCTTCCTAAGGGAAAATGAGGCTGTTTTACAAGAAGCCACTTTACGGTAGATCTCAGAAAGCAATGCCATGAAGCCACTATTTCACCACCATAATCTGCACGCCCCTGCCCACCTCAGCAAATCCCACAGAGAGCCGGATCCCTGGAGGGACTGCGCAGACTGGTTTTGGACGGAAAAACAGACCAGGCCTTCATCAAATAAAAGATATATTATAACCCCACCCTGAAATGCAAATAGCACGTTTATCTTTGAGTTATCTAGGAAAGCACCTACCAAACACAAACCTCTTAAATTCCTACAATTCCTAAAATGCTCAATCAAGTCATTATCTCCCACAAGCTCCAGGGCCCAATAGGGTTAAGAGATTTCAAGATCAGCAGAGCTAAAATTTGAATTTAAACCTGTTTATTACCCAACTTTGTTATAAAAAGTCCTACACAGATGTGATCCAATGTCAGAAGGTCAATCAGGCATGGAGAGGCTCAAGAAAGGTATCTGAAGCAAGAGCTCCTTGATGGGCCTTTTCACAACTGGAAATGCTGATTCTGCTTTTGGCACTTTAGAGAAGGCCCATCCCCCCATTGCGGGAAGTCCCAGGTCTGTTGGGTGAGGAGCAGGGAGAGCACAAAGGAGCTGCACACCGGGGAATAGCTCACCTACAAATCAAAACCCTTGTAAGTCTATTGCGTCAGCATGTAAAAGTCACCCACCCAAAAGGTCACCGGGCTGCCCAGAGACCACAGAAATGTCCTTAGACTCAAGGTCTCCTGCTCTGCTATGTTAATCAACTCAAATGATGTGTTCAGGAGGCGGTAAAAAGCACACTCCAAAACCAAACAGCCTGGGTTCAAAATCAAGCTCCGTCACACACTCGCCATGTGACCTTGAAAGACTCACACCCTTTGCGCCTCAATTTCCTCATCCATAAAATGGGGATGACAACAGTAGAGGAAACATACACTAAATGATGTCTGCTGTTATTATTTTTCGGAGAGTCTTGTCCAATCCAGGGCCTATCCTCTTCTGACACGGTCCTTACGTCACAGTGTAGGTGACAGCCTTTTCTCCCAACTCCATCCCAAGAGCAAATCCCTGATTTCAACAAAGTTGATAGTGGGAGATGGGGACAATTAGCAAAAGGCTTATATTAACTATTTCATTAAATAATGTCTGGGAGCTAAAAATCAGTCAGCAGTCACAGAATTCACACTCATAAGAAAGGTAATTTAAATCAATAGTTAAACTAACTCTTTTTCCACAAAAGTACGATTTTATTGTTTTATATAATAGCCACAGGAGACATTCTCCCCAACTAAGAGATAGGTATGAGTGGAATTTTTAAAAGATATAATTTATGAAAATGCACTGATTCATTTTCACATTTCAGATTACTTTTACTAGCAAATAACATTCCACTTAAAATAGCAATTTAACTTTTAAATCGCTAGGAAGTGACCTATCTTTAATTCAAATATATAATTATAATTTTGGGTTGGCATCTTCAGCACATGCTATTTCTTTAGAGACAGGAAATATCAATTAGCAATAATGATAGCTAATGTTTCTTACACACTAACTAAGCGCCTAATAAGCTAGGTGTTAATTTCTACATAACACCTCATTCTCTTAATCCTTTGAGGGAGGTATAGGCTCATTTCACAGAAAAACCTCAGCCTTGAGGTTGATGAGTAATGGTTCTGACAGAGAACTGATTTCTAGCACCTGTGTATTTAATACTAAAATGATACAGAAAAGACTCAAACTTTTATTGTGCATGCAAATCACCAGGGGAATCTTGTGAAAATGCAGATTATGGTTCAGAAGGTCAAGGGGGAGGCCTCTCTGATGCTGCATTTCTAACAAGCTCCCTGGTGCTTTTGATGCTGCCGACCACACTTGGAGTAGCAAGGATCTACAGGTTGCAATAGGCCACAGAGCACAAAAAAAATCTATAAAAACTAAAATTAAAAAAAGTCAAAATTTTCTCAAAAACCAGAATTAGAATATACTTATATTTCTTGACGGAATTCTGAGCTTTGTAACATCTTAGAAATATCTTCACGACTTCCTTTCCAGTTTAAATTGAGATTCCAATTTCTTAGAGTTTTGTGAGGAGGTTTTCCCCTGAAAAACCCTGATTTTTATCAAGGCTGAGAGGCCAAGTACATGAAGAATATTTCAAGTTGCCATACCCTTCAAACAGATCCCCAACATTCATTCATCCACATATAACCTCTCGCCGTTTAAATTTTAGAGATTAGACAAATGCAGAGTTAGGTGAGATTTTAGGGGCTGGACCCCAAAGTTCTTCCAGATGAAGAGGAAAGCTCTACAACAAAGTAACACCTTACCATATCACTCATTTCTATTTCTGGCCTTAGGTGACAAAGTTCCAGCAACGAGGTGATAACTGCTGGATAACATTTTATACAAACTACTGTGTTTCAATTCTTTTACCAGATCCTTTGAGCAGCAAGTTCTATTTTCTTTCAAAAGTCCACAGAGTAGTAAACAAAGCATGGTGCTTTAAATTCTACCTGGGTCCAAATTCCTGCCCCACTCTCTTTTATGCATTTTTGATTATCTGTGTTATACTCAAACATTGGCTAGCTGCCTCTTTTAAAAGAGGGTTATACACCTTGCCCCACCCCACACACTCCATTCTCTTTGCTAATAGCAATTCCTAACTACAGAACCAACATATCTCTGAGAACATCCTGGTTTACCAGATAAGGTCAGTTTAAAATTCTAGAGAGGGAAACCAACTCCATTGGTCTTTCCTTAGAGCCTTTCAAAAATACCCTCCAGCAATCAGCAGAAGCCTTTCGGTGAGGAGATAAATAAAACAGTCCGTGATTCTGCAATCTACAAATAGTGAGACCCTTATTTAAAGGGTGTCCCCATAGTATATTATTCCCAAGGAACATTTATCTATGTACTCAAGTCAGAACAAGAAGTCCAAAGCTTAGAAGAAAAAAACATAAACATACTTATAGCTCTATGCAAATGGCATCTCTGGCTGAGAAGTCTATAAAGTTTTGCTGTCTGGCCTCAAAAGGAGGCCTACCTGTGACCTTGAATATCTGGACAGTTTTTTCGGAACTGGAGCATGTCTGTCCACAACAGAGCTCAACAACTTCCCAGAGAGGCCTGTTACAAAACCATAAAAGAGGGGCAGAGCAGGACAGGCCCCTGCCCTGAACACCCTGGAAACTAAAAATAAGAATTCTGAGAAATGAACTCTACTATAGACAAGTCCAACAGAAAGTTCTCTGTTTCTGTTACCTCCCAAACTGGCTGCCCTCCCAGAGTGGTTTAACTCTGGGTACCAATTGGGCAATGCCAGTCACGGTGCTGGGGCGGAGGACTCAGGGATGCAGGTTCTGTCTTCTACGTTAATTAAGAGGAATTAAACCCGGCAGTATAAGCTGGAGAGTTTTGTGGGCACATCTAGGCTCCCCCACGGCATCTAGGTTACATACTTTCATTCAACAAACATTTATTGAGCGTCTACCTTATGCTGGGCATGGGCGAGGATACCAAGCCACAGTCCCGCGTGGTGGAAGCTGACAGAGAAGAGCCATCGGGAAGGGTGTTGGTTGTGTGGGCCCGAAATCCTACCACAAGTTGCTATGACCAGTAGTACCCAGGACAGCACGATCCCTAAGCCGGCTCCTCGGATCACCAAGCCCCAAAATGAAACAGGCTCGCGACAACGAAGGCAGGAGTGGACAGGTAGGCCCGGGGGCAGGTGTTCAGGTGGGAGGAGCATACCCGAGGCGGCAGGGCTGGAGAGAGCAGAGTCCCCAAGGGAAGGGGGAGGGCGGCCCGGGGACCCAGAGAGGACGAAGGGGTGCAAAGAGCTAGAGTCTGGCCCCGGGAAGCGGGTGCGCGGCAGAGGCCGGCCGGGCCTGCGCCCCCCGA